TAGGCCCAAATGGCCGAGGCATACCTGGTCCAAGCACACCATTAGGAGTAGGAGGTCCATGGAAACTGTTTTGCAACATATTACGACTTGAAGGAAATGCATCCATTATGTGAGCAGGTGGTCCAAAAGAAAACTCATTCCCAAACATTTCTGGCCTCTGCCCTCTAATTCCTGGATATGGCGGTCCAAAATCTTTGCCAGGAGCCAAATCACTGTTGGAGAACATTATTGAAATTCGAGGATCATTAAAAAGTCTTCCTTGCAAGGCCTCCTTAGCTCGCCTTGCTTCCTCCACACTTCTGAATTCTACAAAAGAATAATGTCTTGAAGGGAAACATTTTATTCTCTCAATCTCTCCATGCAGTATCATGGCATTATTCAGCATTTCCTCATCAATCACAACAGAAGGCGGATATCCAACCCATAAAACCTTACTGGGTTGACCCACTTTACGTCCTCCTAATGGTTGAGATGGCTGAAAAAAAAAATAAGAATATTCACCAAGAGTCTTGCAAACCCGTTCGCTCGTAAGATTAACAAATAAAAAATGAAACTAAGTACAGATATAACACGCATATCTCAGGTCTACACAAACCCACATAACTGATGCTAAGAATGATGTTTTTAAGAGTCAGGGAAAAGTTTTACTTGCATCACAGCTTAAGGTTCATACCTGCATTCTCTTGTGTCCTGAATAAGTAGGCTCAGGGTAATTCCTTGAAATGTCTGGATTAATCCAAGATGGATCAAAACCCCCCATGCCTTTGAATTGTGCACTTCCCGGATCATGGAAATCAGACTGATCCTGTTAGGTGGCAAAATTCCAAAAACAAGATAATAAGGTCATAAAAAATCACATGTGAATAGAAGAGGGAACTCTCAGAAAATATTTAGTTGTCGGCCAAACAACCAGTTATGAGAACAAATGCACTTCTTGCAAGTAATACCAGAACACTGTTGCAAATTCATGCTAAAGCTACTGTGAAATGAAGAAATATAGTATAGAAAACAAGACATCTGAGAAAGAGAAAGAAAGAGAGGAGCGGATGGCAAGCAAGTGGTTGTTCTGCAGTAGTAGAAAGAAATGCAGCACCCATGCACTACATTGCAATACCTATTTACAAATGCAAAGCTCAATTTTGAAAGCATTTTTAAAAAAGTATATACTAACCCTCTTCGCAGGATAAGATCTTAGATAATCAACACGAATGCGATCATCACCGATTTGTAAACCATTCACATTCTTCACTGCAGCTGAAGCATCTTCCAACCTCACAAAATCAACAAGTGCAGTATTCCGGTCTCTAATGAACTTTAAATCTTCAATTTTACCAAATTTACTCAACTCTTCCTCTAGCTTTTCCTTAGTGACTGATGGACCAAATCCACCAACCCATACATGCTTGGAGGGCTTAGCCTGCAAGTCCAATGTCTACTATGAAGGTCTAAGCACATGAAAAGCTCTAAAAAAAATTGTAGCGCAGATAATATAGCCAACAAAACTGCAACAAAAAACTAACTACTCTTTTTTAACCTTTAGTACATGAATTTTTTATAAAAAATTTGCAATTCTCATGATTTCAAGTTATCAGACAGAAGAATACAGAATTGCAACATAAGACCTCCCATAAGGCAATTTGACAATTTATTGACCTTAGGTGCAGATTGATAAAGACGAAGACCACGGAATAGGCATAAGCCCTTATGTTATGCAGTTGCTTTGAACTAGAAAATTAGATCAACAAATTCATTCGCCACAAAAATGGCATCTTAGCAACAGTTATTTAGGCAATATGAATTGGCATGGATTATTATGTTCACAAAGATGACAATTCTAAATCTATTTGGCTTTGTTTTATCAACATGGTCAAAATAAATAATGGTGATAATAAAACCATGTGACTATCTTATATTGCGAACGGATAAGCTTTGATTACAAATACACTACTATCTACAATCGCTCAATTGTAATCGCCATTGTGAGTAAAATTGTTTAGCTGATATCATCCAAGCAAGAGCAATTTATAGTTGTTTAATTACATAAAGTAAAATAATACACCACTCAAACTTTGGATTGCATTAGCCAATGAGGAGTGAAAAAGGTACTGCATTTTGATTTGGAACACTAGTATATATAGCATCCATGGGTACATCCGACCCCATCCTAACCCGTTGGAGTAAAATTGATGCGGTAGTCTGCATGAAGTATCAGTGGAAAGTCTGGAGGCCACAAAGAGAATTGAATTCGGTACTTGATGCCATTCAGCTAATATACATTCAAGTTGTGCAATCAGTTATAGCTATTATCCGGAACATATGAATTGGATTTCAGTTAAAATAAACAAATGCTCAATAGAAATGTAGTTAGTCGATTGACTTAATTGTTAATCTCGGTTGCATTATGATGTTCCTCTGTTACGGGTCTAATGCAATCTATTTTCGATTTTTCGACTGTGATATAGGAGTAATAGTTGTTTAATATGAATAATTTTTATTAATTGACAACAAGATTTATTAGATTCGTAGTTGATCGACAAAGATTGCGATGAATGTAACTACAGCAAAACCTAACCCAAAATAAATTAAATCGCGAATAATCCAATTTAAACGAGAGGATTGTAGCTGAAAGTCAGCAGGTTTAGATGTTCATTACAGCACTACAGGCCTACCGCTGCAAAAAATTTCAATTTTCACTACTTTTTATGAATTTACTTATTGATCTTGGCCTGAATCTCCTAAATACTAAATCCTATATACTACAAGACCGATTATCACATAATCCTCTCTTTCAATTAATCGTGCTGCGTAAACTAACTATAATCGATGTACCTAATTTGATTGAGATGAATTTGATTTTCGAAACCGGATAATCCGAATACCACGATAATCCCTAATTTATATCTATCCATCATCTAAATTCGACTCGGATTCGAGATATTGTCGCAAACAAACAGCAATTAAAAACACAAAAACCAAATCCAATCAACAAAAAATTTATAAAAACAAATTCGATTACAAAAATCCAAAGAAAAGAACAAACCGGTTTGGCAAACTCAATTTTGATTGAATTCCCATTAATTAAAAACCCTTGAAGAGCATCTTTAGCAGAAACAGCATCTTCAACACGCTTATAGTAAACAAAAGCGTAACTCCTGGAAGCGTAGCAAGTGATTCCGTCAAGCAATCCGTATTTCTCGAACAACTCCGTCAACTCAGATTCGGTAACTTCTGGAGGTAAATTTCCGACCCATAGATGACTCGAAGTTGCGTCGATTTCTGAAGCGTAGGGTTGCTTCTTCGGCTTCATCGGCATTGCTTGATTGATTAATTGATGATTTGTTTTTTTTAAGAGAAAACCCTAGAAATTAGGGATTAGGGGGAAGATGAAATTAGGGTTTGTGATTAGAGAAGAAAAGAAGGAATCTGAGAAGAGAGAGAGTAAGAAGGATGTGAGAGAAGATTGGGTTGGGTTTTGTATTTATATATAAAGAAGGAATTGAACGACGGTGAGTTGGTGGCCGCACAATTTTATTAGCAACCGTTTTGTTATGTTGCTGCCCACTACCAGTCGCAGACTATCACTGTAGATCGTGTGGTCAATGATTTTCAAACTTCTCGTATACTCCTACTAATCTACTATTCACGTAGGATCGATTAATGTTATGTTTAGTTCACCTACCTCGTATCTATACCTAGTATTAAAAACACAAATCAAAATGCATTCATTGTCATGTGTCACCTTTTTTTTTTTTTGTTGAATAATGCCACATGTTACCTTATTTAATCTATCCTTTTAATTCCTTTTCTAACATATAATAAAAATTAAAAATAAAAAATAGCCATAATTCCAATGCATATTAATGTTGTTTAGTTCATTCTCCTCCAACTTAACATCTCTTATAAGTTTATTTAATTTCCACCCCTTTTTCTTCTACCAATAAATTAAAAACATATTATAAAACAAAAAATTACATTATATACCTATGAATAAGATGTGCATTGCACAGGCCAGAAGATTAGTTTAGTTTAGCTAGAGAGTATCCGTGCTAATGCACAAAATAAATAAATAAATAAAAATAAAAAATTGGAGAAGCGAAAGTTATTTAATTTGGAGGTTATAGCAAAAAAAATGAATAAAATTTGAGAATTGGGCTTTTGGAGGGCTATGGTTAAGTGTTGACGCAGCTAAAATAATAATGACATACCAATTGAGACATTTCACAAAACGAGACATTATTGTTTTTTCCCAAAATGACCCTTACAACCTTTAATGGAACATTTTTTAGCACGCAAATCAAGAAAAAATATATATAGGCGTAAAGTAAGCCCCACTAGTGTTGATTGAATCAAAAGCTGGATAACAAGGTCACTAGTGAAGTAGTGATACACTAGTTGTACAAGGTTACAACGTATAACTTTTAAAAAAGGGGGGCACATTTTAGAAAAGTCAATAGTAAAAGGTTATTGTATAAAATTTCCAAAAAAAAAAAGTTCAAAGCGAATCATATCAGAGTAATAGGATTGGGTCATAGTTTATCGTATATGTTGGGATCTAAAAGAGTGTATGTGTGACTTTTAATTGTTCAATATCTTTAATAAAACAATCGGATTAGATCAGAAAAACACAAATTGGACGAGAGATTGTGGGTTTTTTTTTTTTTTTTTTTTGGTGAGTCTAAAATCATTGTTGAGGATAAAGGCCTTTAAATGAAAACTCTAATATTATTTTTATTAAAATAAAATTTTCAATTAATCCTATAAGGAACACAAAATTTTACAAAAATCAGTGTGATCCGTTTTAAAGTTGCTCTAAATAATCAAAAGTTACCTTAAAATAAATAAAGGTTTTTTTATACTATTGATAAAATTACTTTATTTATGTAACGCCCTAGAAATTCCCTTATTTTAAAATTTCCATTTTACCTTTTAATAAATTCAATTAAGGAAATAAGTTAGACATTCCCATCACCGTGAATTAATTAAGGAAACAAGCACGTTGAGCACCAAAGAAAAAGAAAAGCTCATGATCACTTTAGATAAAGTCTGTACAAAATTCTCAGAATTTTCACTGCAGTTACTTGCTCAAATAACATTCCATAGTAAGCTAAATGGTTCTGATGTTAATCACATGGTACAAACCACGGATATACATCATCTAATACACACAAAATATTTGACCGACAAGGATGTGTTGCCGCGATTAGCAGGAGCAAGGCACTCACAGGAAACAGCATCAGACTTATTATATGTATAACCACAGTAAAAGTGGATTGAAGCAACTTACTGACAGCCAAATTCAGAGACATCCCCCTCAAACAAATTTATGTGCCTCATACGACTCAGAATCACGATTTTCATGGCTTGCCTCTTCTGATGATCTAAGATTATCAGATCACATGGTGAGTGTATACATGGAGTTAAAGAAATCTACTATCTTTACTTCACAACAGGTTGCTTTTGTTCTTCAGTCAAATCATCGTCAGCAGAAAGGATTGAGATAATGGACGGAGGAAGACTTCTTAGCAACAATGTCAATAAACTCTTTGCAACAATGACAACCACCCTAAAAAACTGATCAAGTTCATCATCATATTGCTCATAGATAAAGAATGACGTGAACGCAAACACGAGCACTGCATTCATCCAGGTCAAAGTTAGAGGAAAATAAAAGGAACAAGAAACATTTCAATATGTCATTAATAACAAGTAAGAAAGGATAACTTACCTGATCCTAATAAAAAGGTCAATGAATGTGAGATCCACTTGAAAAAACACAGAATAACTGCTGCCTGTAATAATCAACAAATGAGCACATAAAAAGCTGGAAACAGCATCAACATTTATATGATTACTTTTTATCGTTTGGAAAATTATAATCTGCAAAAGAGCTCTAGCTAGCAACTTTATTTAAGTTCATACCACAAAATAACGTAACAGTAGGTTGCATGCAGATGCACATCAAATCACTACAAGAGACAATGTAGGTACCTTTATGAATAAGCTCCAATCCTCTCCATGTGCCAAAGTTTTAGCAAATTGAACCCCTTCATTCCAAATAAGTGCTACATTGTCAAGCATGTTTCTCATTGTTGGCTCTGAGATTGCTAAACAAGGGATAGATATCTTCTTGAAGCTGAAGTCAAATACGTTGTAAAGACATTTGAGTAACTGTTCTCGCTAATAATCTCTTGACAAGTAATTTTCACACAAGGTACCACAGTCAAAGTTTCTCAGAAAAATATGAAATCCAATTTGCACGAGGCATTGACCAATGGGCAATAGGAACTGTATGTTTATCAAACACTATCTATTATGGGAAGTCCAATGCTCCTGATCCCCTCATTCCAAGTTGTAAAGTCCACCTATCTAGTATGGAAGTCCCTATATATTGTCCTTGATATTTAACAAGTGTACGTTCAGCAAACATCTATCTCCGATCCATCCCCCTTACACAACACTGTTGATCAAATTACACTCACCAACTACACTCCAAAGAGTTTGTAAATAGTTAACATGGCAAACACTTTACTTGTTCAAGGGGCAATATCAATTGCTACCCAACTATTGTAGATGGGAAACATGGCAATCACTCTACAACTTGGGATGAAAGTAATGATTACACTCCAGTAATTATCAGCCCATTTTGGGGTGATTCGGTTAAGATATGCAAACTGGTTGACAAGAGATATAGGAGTATAAGTTCACAAAAGATGTGCAGAAATAAAAGACCGCACAGGTACCATAACTCAAGCACAGAACTGCATGCAAATCTAGAGATTGCAACATGTCGATACTTACATGTTAACTGGAAGAATGCTATCTACAATGAGAAAAAACATGGCCAGCAATAGGAGCCCAGCAGTAGATGAGATGAATGTTCGTCCACTGAGTAAAAACCAGTAGAACAATCCACACGTAATAAGAAAGCATGTAAATGTTTCCATCTCGTCCCTCCAAAGCAATATGTCAGCAACTGCACTTTCAGAAAAATCAAGGAAATGAAGTTAGCGAAAAAGTCGACAAACATAATTAAAATTGTAGATAAAACTGACAAGAAATACCATCCTCCGGATGTCATATAGGTGTCATATGTGTAAAAAGAGGGCTAAGAACAAAAACCACCAAGACCAATAGTTCACAGGCATGAAACATGTATGATTTACAAAAAAACATACTAAAACATGAGCAGCAAAAGGAGAAGCATCTTCTCAATAAGGCTTCTCTTTCAAAAATCATCATCCAAGAAAATTTTTGGCTGAATCAGAGGAATTGTTCACTGTATTCATGCCAAACTAGTCGCCATACAATTTCACAGCTGAATAAGTAGGTTAGCACCAGAGGAATTGTTCACTGCATTCAAGCCAAACAATGCATGCATGCATATCATGACTGAATGAAAAAGCTGGAAGCAATGATACCCCACTATGACTAAGATAACTGAAGCCTTGAAGGACATGGGCTCAAGTGGCCTCCACATAGAAAGGTGGTGATGCCAACTTGAGAATCTTCCCTAGACATTACTAAGAGAGGAGATTTGAGTACTGGGCTTATTATATTAAGGTAGTCACTAGAAGAGCTTAAGATTTTAGCACATACTTCAAGGCATGATGATTGAACAGCAATAGTTGCAAAAATTTGTGCTAAAAGGAAATCAGATATATGAAGAATCATAGGAGAAAGTGACAACCTTTCCCATATCCCAGAATTTCTTCTGCTTTTGAATAATCCTTAAACTGGTGTTGTTTAGAGGGTAACGAGCTTTTAGCCAAATGAGAAAATGACTTGACAGTCAAAGCAATACCTTCCTGCAGCCAGTGAGAGCACAGAAGTTGATTATAAACTCTCACAATCCTTCTTTATACATTATTCAGAATAAGAGAGAGACTCTTAACATTGAACTAATAACTCAAAAGAGCCACAAACATACAACATCATCTCAACATTGCTAGGTCTAGTTTAGATCATGATAGATAGAGCTAAAGGTTTTATAACTAACTCAAAAATAATTATGGGCTCACATCTTCACCCATTGCTTCATGTGAGTAGAAATGTGTTTCTGTTGTATTAGAAATTGCCCTAGTTGTAGTATAATTGTGTTTTATCACCTTTAATTTCTTATCTTTTATTATTATTATTAAGGAAAACATCTCCACAATGTCCGGCTTCCTTCTTACAAAATATTGATTACTAGGAAATTATAGAAGTTCAGAGTAGATATTATAACATTTTAATTGACAGAGTTACAATGTGTTCCCACAGACCAGACAATATAGTCACTTAAAGTACTTGGAAGTGCCAGAAAAAATTTAACAAGATTCCTGGAAGAAAAAAAAACTACTTCCGAGTACATTTCCAAACCTACTACCACTTAATCACTTATATCCAATGCACAAGAAAGGAGATTATTTGGTGAAGTGAAGGTAAATCCTTAATTATGAGGGGTAGGAGCAATGTGACAACAAGTACCAGAGGGAATTCTCTTTCCTATTGCAGATCTATAGAAAGTTCTGCAGCAAATTAAGTAAATTGTCCACTAATTTTTTTTTTTTGTTTAGAGAGCCACAAGGGCGGGGGTGAGAATCAATCCCAGAATCTCCTGGAATCAGGAGGGAAGCTCTAACCACTTAAGAAATCCCTCACTCTCAGTAAATTGTCCACTATTAAGTGTCCAACAAAGATCTCATTCTTGATGAAAAAATGAGTATATACATTGGTAAAGAAGCACAACTTCGATTGTTATCCCAAAAAAATGAATAAAGATGACATGAAACAGACCAGTCACTTCTATCATATAAGTTGCAAGCTAGAAGGAACAATATAAACATAATGAAAGGCCTTAAAGCTCTAGCATAAGATACATCCTTTTCTGACTGCTGCAAAATATTAATCTATCCTGACAGGTTTTAATAATAACTAAGGAAACCACATAAACAGAGGCACAAGAAAAATAGGATAAAGCAATAATTAAGCGTTGGAAAAGTAGGCAATATGGTCAAACTTACTTCCAAAGGAACAACAGGTGAGTAATTGATGTGCTCTTTAGCTGCAGAACAATTAAAAGTTCTGGTAAACAGTGATGATTCAATAGCAAACTGAACTGACACTAAGAGGCCTTTGACATCAGATTCAGATTCCAGTTTGTAACTTGTCCACCTCAAAAGCGGAAGCAAAAAATTGACAATCTTAGGAGGAACTCGAATGCTTGGCCTACATTTATTGTTTTTTGACAATGAGTCAGAATAATGGAATATAAAAAATATAAAGAACATAACAAATAAATGCACAAGCAGTAATCTAATCACTGAGCAAGTAATACTATATACTACTAGTAGCACTTCGATAGTAAAATAATAATACAATACTAAACTCCATACATCATGGGAGATTAATAGCAAGAAATTGTATTTTTAAAAATAAAATAAAATTAACCAAAAAAAGGTCATTAGTGATTCAAACTAATACTCTAACACAGAGTAAATTCCAATTCCCACGTGGCCAATTATTGAAACAACAGTTTATCTTCTAATTGTGGTAACATTGTACTACTAAACTTCGTAGACAAAATTATAACTACTTTAAAAGTGTGCCACCCATTGAGCCCAACCACCCCAAAAATGAAAGGCATAAAAACACAGAGTTAACCAATACAGTGGAAGACGAAAATGCAGATAAAAAAGTATTTTAACCAAAACAACCAACGACTGTACCGAAAAAACCTAGCAAACATCTTTAAGTACATGTTGCTTGGGGAAACATTTCTTTTAGGATAGTGACTGACATTAAATGCACATGTGATAATAACAATACACAAAGACACGTACAATGGGACACATTATATCTCTAAGGAAAAATCCACATTATATCGAGGAGACAAGGACAATGGTAGAATGGTAAAACTATGTATGACCATATTTTCTTTTTCTAAAAACGAAAAAAAGAGAAAATCCACTAGTGTATAGGGTGATAAGTCGTCCAAAAACAGAAAGAAGCATATACTAATAAAATTCTTAGTCAGCAAAGGCTTTCAAATCGTGCTAACTATATAGCAATCAGATACAATACATTCTTCGAGACAATTTGTTGAATCAGCAGTGGAAAAAAGTCCCAAAAGAAGCCATATCAGGCTCACTTCAAAGCCTACAAATATTATTATTTGTCCCACGTATAAGAGACTAAGTGAGGAAAAGGAAAAACATGTTTTTTAACAGAAGAAAATTTGGAACATCCAAATAGTTTATAGTTGATATAAGTATAGCCAGTTATATAGACAATTATAGGTAACTATTATAGTATATATTCAACTGTATGACAGAAATCAATGGTGGTCAGTAGTCTCCAAAAGAGGTTTTCATTAGGTTCCCTAGAGATTCCAAAAATGGGAAAACACGACATTTGTGAGGTTTCTGTGCAACAAAGGCTGAGAGAACTAGGTTTTTCATCAATCGACTCAAATCACCATGTGACAATCATGCCCCGTGTCAGTGAACAAACACTGAAGAGAAAGCTAAAATGCCTAAAATGTGACCAAAATATAATTTCATTCCCATCAAACTTATAAATACCTAGCAAAAAAGAAAACTTATTTAGGAGCTACCCTGTAAATAAAACTTCAACGCACCTTTTATATCCCAAACCTTCATATATCCGAGATACAAACTCCCAATAGTTCCTTGGCTCGAGATTTGTGATAAAAAATGCCTAAATATGAGAAAATCTTAAACATAAAGGCCAAATAGTAATAAAATGCACTGAGCAAGACTGCAAAACAATTTAAAACAATGAATTACCTTTCCAGCCACAGAATTTTTTCGAGAAATAAGAGCTTCTGCAGCACATATATGAGCATGGGCCACATTCTCAACATAGGTGAAGTCGGAGAGATTGTCACCACTGCCTAAAACAAACTGGAAAAGGGAGATATGTCCATGATAAGGAATTAACTTTAAAAAAGGGGAAAAAATGATTTGGCATATACACACGATAAAAAGCATATGAAAAAAAACTACAAAAAGGGAAGAGGAAAATAAGTGAATAATTATTGCATAGAATACGAAATATAAACTAAATAATTATCGCAAATAAAGTTGTGCAGTCATGTAAGTTAGATTTTGAAGGAAGGTATCTGAAATCTGAATATTATATACCATAGGAAAAAAAATTAGAAAAAAAGAAAACAACTCCTCCACTATCTTATTCATCTTGTTCCCAAACACCCCACTCTAATTTATCCCTTGCAATCTACATAAATTATAATCTGTCAGTCACTCAACTCCTCTCTCTTAGCCTCTCCTGCCATGGCAACAAAAAATTTACCCGGCGACATAGAGCGTTTAAATTACAAAAATCATTATAGTTGAATTCTCAATATAATTTTTAGCTAAAGACCCTAGATCTGCAAAACTAGAGTCGTTCGCTTCTTTTAGTCAGTTGTGTGGTAACTGTATATCACATATTCACATCACCCAGGGCTTGAAGAAAAAGATTAACACTCTGACTTTCCGTGTGGAAGATGGAAATGGGATGCATGCATTTTATTTCATCACTGTCCACTGCGCTTCAAGGGGCTGCCAAACGAAACAAGATGCTATTCCTAGATATAATTCTAAAATATCTTACATTTCTTTGAACTTTGGGTTGCAAGAATGTAGGGAAAGAACAACAGCTTACACTGAGAAGTTCGGGAAACCTGCCAAACGATGTTATATTGCAGATCATACAAAACTAGTTAGCAAACAGCTATAATTCTCAAACTCTTCATTTCATCTTGCATACAAATGTTGCATACTTGACACTTCACTTTGGACCAACAACAGTTTGATTAAATAAAAAGGGCAATATGAAGCTTGGCACATATGATAACCAAATCTCTGAAACTTAGGCAATCAGAGAATGTACTTCATTGTGGTATCTAACTAAGTAGAAGCTGCAATGACACTGAACCCTGCTCTACCCACAGCCAACCCATGAAAATAGGCTTATTCATATTCCATCCACATGCTCAGGGAAAGGGATGGTGTCAAGGAGAGGATATAGACATGAATAATTACCAGACCTTTGCCCAGACAGAATTTGCTTGATTCACCATAGCATGCACCAGATGAGTATCTGATGGTCCAAAGATATTGCTGGGACGGAGAACACAGGTCAATAGATCATCATGGTTGTTAGCATACAAAACAAGCGCTTCTGCTTGAGCCTTCATTTCCATTAACATGTCTGTATACTGTATCAGTGTAGGAAGTCAATTAGAACCTCATATGTTTCAAAAGGTGTGAACAAAGAATAAGAAAGGAACTTCAACGATACATACTTTCCACGGGTAGGGCATGGATTCATCCCCTTTTCTAATATGATGAGAACCGTCAAAAACAACATCAGCAGAACTGTTGTATATTAGTCGTTTGACTTTACACTCTCGACAAGCATTGATGACATTTTTGGCACCTGATGGACAACATAGAGATAATACGTATTGTAGTAGTTCTGCAACAATCATAAACTCCATATGAATTAATCACTCTCATTTAAAAAGAAATTACCTTGAACAATAAACATGTAGCTTTCGTAAAGATTACATTGGGATACACCAGAAGTTTCAGCAACGAAAATAACGGACGAACCATCAACAGCTGCAGTGAAACAAAGTAAGAAGAATTAAGTCATCAAATCTCAGTCTGCTGAAGGTGTCACAACTAGAAGAGAACACTGTAAGATAATGATAAAAGGGACCAATCTAAACAGGCAATATTAGAAGAGATCAATATGTCATCCCAAGACTTAAAATATCCAAAAGCAATGAGAAGCAGTTTCACAATTGCTGGCTCAGCAAAACTCCATAAGAGCAAAATTAGCATGTGTAAGCAACGTATTGCTTATATCTAATACTCAAAAAAAAAAAAAAATTGGGAATCAGGACCCTACGGGCTATGGCTCACAACAAGATCGCCCGCTAGTTATCCTATCTTCTATAAGAGTAGCATCCTTCCATAATCTTTTACTTAAGTAACAGAGTCCCACTACTTTTCCTTGTGAAGTGAGAACCACTTTGCTTTTTTCAAAACATCAATATGTTATGGGTAATTATAATTCAGTATCACATCCACCAGCTGTCCTGATATTATCTTCCCCTTTACATAAGCCATTTTCTACTTTTTACTTTCAGTTTCTTTCATTCTTCCCATCTACCTTCATTAGGTCCAAAGGATTCTTATTTTTCATGCTGATTTACTGCAGTAAGTTTATATAAAACTGCACTCAACATATAAAGCTGCACTCAGCATTCATCAACAACCATAAGCACAATAGGAAAGATCATGAAGAGAATCTTATGCTCTGAAACCACGAAGCCCAATTTAGTTGATTTCAAAATGCTCCTATAGCAACATAGTGACTAGACAATCTTCTTTTCTCCTTGTATCATTAAACACCTAATCTACGTATACATTATATATTCATAATGCACTAACAGATTAGCCGCTTGACCGTCCTTAGACTCCTTACGCACCACACAAAGTGCAAAAAACCTCTATCCAGCCTCCCGGCCTGCAATTAATCATGACATTGGGACCAATGTATAAAAAGGCTCAAGGCGCAATGAGGCGATGAAGATCCTGCTGCGCCTCTTTAAAGTGAGGCGCACAATATAAACAATTGGAGAAATTTGCCTGTATGCGCCTCAAGTGTGCCTCAGGTGCGCCTCTTTGAGTCCACCTCGCCTAGATAAAAAAAGGTGCTCTCCCCTAATCACCTAGCGCCTATGCGCGCCTTTTTATATACTGTTTGGGACTAGAATATCCCTATCGATGTGAAACTGGGAAGCGGTTAGGATGTGAGCACACAATCTCTCTGTTGAGCATATGAAACTACTTTAAAACCCTCATACCTCTAACAAACCAAAACAGAATGCCATCACAAAGCTCATGATGACGAATAAATTTCTAGCCTAAAATCTGATAGAACGGAAGACAACCCAAGGACTCAACTCTTGGGAGTACCAAAACTCAGTGATATACCTTTTCCAAATCCTATACACAATTATAGTCCCATCACAGCCTCTTACTTACACTTCTCACTTGCCAAAAAGCCCACATTACATATTGCCTACTCACCAATGTAGAGAAGTCGAAAACTAGACCCAATCTCTTAAAAGAACTTAGCCAAATACCAAAGAAAACAAAGTCAATGAGCCTATACATTGACTATAAACACAGTGATCCTTCATCGTATGCAAACGATGAGATTCCGTGGACAAATTTAAGATATCAACACTATAGCACTCGGTGCAATTTATCAATGAATTAGACTTAAACATTGAATTTTTCTTCCTGTCCTTCCAAATATCAAAACACTAAAAATGAGGTCATGATCAAAATGACTACATTTCGATAAAACCGAAGATAATCTCCTTTAACTTTATCAATTTGCTCCAACAATGTTGTAACACCATACACTTCTCATGATGAACAATTTCAACCAAACTAATCAAATTATCATTCTACAGCTTAATTCTCCAACAACAACACAAACAAATCAAAATTTCCATCATAAAATGAACAAATCAACAACATTAAACTTCGAAGAACCCTAAAAATCAAAAAAAAAATTACCTCGAACAAGCTGAGATTTATCACGAACATCAACTTGAAAATACGAAACACGACCATCAGCAACAGCGTCAGAAACGAGAGAATTCTGCTCAACATTGAGACTCGGAGAAGAATCGGCGATTCTAACGATCCAATTACCGAGCTTCAAGAGGCGTAAAACGAGGAATCGGCCGACGAAGGTTTGGCCGCCGATGACGACGCAGGTTGAGCTAGGGTTAGGGATGTGATCTTCCGCCATTGATGAACTGTAACTGGTAACTGAGGAAGAGAGAGAATGGCGGGGAAAATGTAACGTAAAGATTGAATTTGATTTGAGAGAGGAGAGAGAAAATTGGTGGGGGGAAGTGGTGGAGCCGAGGTATAAGGAGGAGAGAGAAAGTGTGATTTGGACAATGGCACCACTATGCCTATATCCACCACTAATTTAGTTTGCTGCAAAAAGGTGTGTTATTTCTTCTGACAAAATGTAAAAGGACAATTAAAGGACGGATTTATTACGTCTTTAGGTTTTTTTTTTTTTGTTCTTCCTTTTGTTTTTAGTCACGAGTCATGTAGTCATGTGTAGGTTAAGTGTAAAGTGTCACGAACCGCACGATCTATGCCGTGAGATGTCAGGTGTCAGCGTGTCTCATATGGGTCAAGATATAGTCCTGTCATTAAACCTGGGCACGGGCCGGGTTGGCCCGCGTGCCGCCCGGCACGGCCCGCCGTTCGGCGCAGCCCGGCACGGCACGAAGTTCAACTTCCTTGCCACGGGCCGTGCCACGGACACGGTTGAGAATTCCCAGGCACGGCCCGGCACGACCACGGGCATGGCCCGCCGTGCTGGCCCGCAGGCACGGCCCGCGGGCCAACGGCTATAAAACAGCTAGGTTTTTGCCAAAAATTCTATAAATACTCACCTCCATTTCATTCCCAAATCACAAAATCACAATCTCTTCTTCTTATCTCTTATATTCTCTAAATCTCTAATAATCCTTATTTTCTTAAATTCTCTAATTATTCTCTTAAATTCTCTAATTATTTTCCTAATATCGGAAAAAATTAAAAAGTAAATATATAAATATAAATATTGAATAAACAAATTATAAAACATAAATATTCAACTTATAATTATAAAATTCATAACTTAATAACTTATAACTTATAAGTTATAAACTTATAAGTTACCTTATAAAACTTATAATTATAATTTTATAACTTATATACATTATAAACTTATTAATTTATAATGTTGTCATAAAAAAAAAAAAAAAAAAAAAAAAAATTGAAAACTGCACCAGCCCGCAGGCCGGCACGTGGCCGGCACAGCACGAGCCCGCCAGGCACGAGGGTCGTGTCGTGCCGTGGGCTGGCCTGTGAAAATGGCCGGCACGGCACGGCACGAAATCCTGGGCCCGCCGGCACGACCGGCACGGCACGAACCAGCCCGTGGCCCGCCAGGCACGGCCCGCGGCGGCCCGGCACGGCACGGTGCCCAGGATTACCTGTCATCTTAAACTCATGCTGATTATTCAAAATTAGAGTACATAATCAATTTGTTACAAATTTGTCCTATGCGGGCTCGTGTCGAATTGGGCCATTTTTAATTTTTGAATGAAAATATGTAGTTGAAGTCTTTCTCACTCCTTCCGTGTTTTAATAAGTGTTACACTTTTATTTTTGGCAAAAAACTACATTTTAATACTATATCTCTATTCTCTCATGATCCCCACCCAAACCTACTACTACATTTTTTATTATTTCCTCTCTCTCACATTCATTATTTTTCAATAAATTATTAATCTTACTATCTATCTTTTACAATTTTTTAATACTCTGAGTACCCCACTTATTTCTTATTTTATTTAAGTCAATTAAATTAGCTAAAATTATGTGTCGGTCAAAGTGTAACACTTATTAAACACAGAGGGAGTACTTAAAGTCATCTGCATCATCTAGTACACCTTCGCCCTCTAATAAGTAGTCTTGGCTTTCCTAAAAAAAGAAAAAAAAATTAATCTTCGCATTGAAAATCATGGAAATCAGCTTTATATAGTTATAACTAATTACTTTAGATTATTTTTGTTTTTTAAGTGTTACATAAAAAAAAATTCTTATTTACATGCCTACAGAGAGTATAAGGGGAAAAAAAGTATTGCTCCATTTTACAAAGTGTTGTAGCTAAAATTTGTGGTGGTGGTGGTGATGGTGATGGTGGTGGGTGGCAAAAAAGTTGTGGTTGTGATGACGGTGATCATGATGGTCTTATTAGAAAATTAGAATGGAGGATGTGTGGTTAGTGTTTGATTGTTAGGGATGGTAGATAGATAGTTGGTTGTCTAACAAAGGAATTAGACTTAAATATAAACTTTATGATTGAAAAACAAAATTTAGCATACAAATTAAGAGTGGAAGTGGAAAGGTATATTGAAAGACATTTAGTGGTATGACCGTATGATAATTAAGAAAGGCGATGGAACTATGGAAGATTAATAATTTTTGAAGAGGTTAGGGGTATGACAGTAAAACTTTTTTATTATTTTTTATATTAAAGCAAATAATAACATCACGAAAAATTAACAAATGTCATCGTTGAACTTTGAAAATTACGAAAGACAATTGAGGAGGGAAAAGATGAGGAGAAAAAAAACTTAAATCTCTTGTGAATGACCATATTTGAATTTAGATTATATTTAGTAAGAATTTTTCTAAAACATGTGCAACCATCTTAGACAAGTGATGGAATCATGGAAGTATTTAATTACACAATAAATATTGAATTCCTTTATATAGTTTCTTTGTTACCACCTTGGACAAGTGATGGAAGTCTTTATTGGTTTGACATGGCTAACTTTGAACTTTCTCGCGCAAATTGTAAGGTTAATTTCGAAAATACAAAAAAAAAAAAAAAAAAAAGATAAAATAAAGAGGAAACAAAGCTTCAATGGGCTCATGAGCAACTTGAATGGAGCTCACAACTAATAGAATTTGGGCGCAAGCGGAAGTTTAATGGATCCGAATATCATATAACAATTTTATGATTTCATAAATTTCATCATAAATTGTACAAACATGTTTGTGAGAGTTCATGTCTCTCACTCTCTTAATAGAACCCTTAATTTCTATCAACCATTGGTAGAGCTCGTGATTAGCTCACTTCTTACTCATGTATACATAAGATATTTATAGTGGTGTTTTCCCACTTTCTAGATTTTTTTACACTTATCTCATATTGTATTTAGATTTTTCTACATCACTCATCTTAGATATTTTACAAGATATTTCTAAACCTCTATTGATTTTCCTACATCATTCTAGATTTTTCTAGATTAACCTCTAACACTCTCCCTTAATCTTGAAAATCTTTGTTGAAAAAAACTCCATTGATGCTTTCTTCTTCAATGATCTCCAAACTTGATTTTTTTTGAAGTTTTCCTTGTTATGCACGTTGATGCCCATGTCACCAACCATTTCTTAATTTGCTTCATATTCTATATTGTTGATCTTTTATGTTGGTATCCATGTTACCAACAACCCCAATTTTATTTCTTCATCACATCTTGTTGATCTTCAATGTTTTGTGTTGGTACCCGTGTTACCAACTTGAACTTGCTCCCCCTAATTGTAATTTTCTCAACTTTTTTTTTTTGGTACTTATGTTACCAACAATTTTATTTTGTTAGTGCTCATATCACCAACCTTCTCCCAAAATATTCGTGTCTTCAAATTTTGTTTGTTGTCGGTGCCCGTGTCACCAACCATCTCCGCTAATGCTCTTATCATTAGTAAATTCCGAACAATAAACTTCTCCAAGATAAAACTTCATCTTGATTTTTCTATAATAGGTTTCTTTAATTTAAATTTTCTCTTTTGATATTTCCCTAAAAACATTAATCTTCACAAAAAACTTACCTTTGTTAAAAGATTTTTCACCGACAGAAATATTTATCAGTGAAAGGTAGAGTAAAGAAGAAGAGAAAGAGTATGGGTGGAAAATGTAGTCCACTTTACTACTACTTCATGGCTTTATTTATAGTAAGATTTTACAATAAAATATTAGGCATTATTGTACCTACTAGTATAGGATTGATAGCTATAATTGATCTAAATACATGTGAACTTTCACATTTGCATATTTCTCAACACTCCCCCTTGAATGTTCACATGAAATGGGGTGTGAGTTGCCTTATTAAAAATCTCGCTAGGTAAGACTCTATGGGATAAGACCTATAGCTAAAAAAAAACACAACGATATTATTGTATTATATGCTTTGGTATACCGCTTCGTTAAAAATCTTGTCAGGAAAAACCCATTGGGATAAAAACCTGATCGAAGGAAAAAAGAGTGCGGTGCATATAATACTCCCCCTGATCTCAACATAGTTCACGAAGATGACGCATTCCAATTTTGTGAACTAATTGCTCAAATTTCTTAGAAGGAAGTGATTTGGTGAACAGGTCGGCAAGGTTGTTGATGCGGGAGCATTCAAGGTTTCCTTTCTTGGTCCGTTTCTTTAATGTTTCTTAGATTAGATTTTGGCTTACAAGTTTTTACCTTTCACTTGAAAGGATTTTTCTCGTTTTAAGCGTTAGGATTTCTATTTTGATTAGGAATTGTTTTGGTCTAAAAAGTTCCTATTTGAATTAGGACTTGTCTTTAGCAAAAGAGAGTTCCTATTTGAATTAGGACTTGTTTTTAGCAAAGTAAGTTCCTAAGTGGATTAGGACATGACTTTGGTTTTTAGGCGTGTCTAGGAGTTTTAGGAGGATTGAATAACCTAATCTAAGTTGAATTAAACTTAGTTAGTTTAGTCATATCCGAATTAGGAACTTGGGGATCAAGTTTCGGTTTTCTTAGGTTTTCTAGGTCAAATGGGATTCTAATTCAATTAGGATTAGTCTTCTAATTTGATTAGGTTTAGGATTAGTTTTGAGTCTATAAATAAAGGTTGTAAACTTCAAATTATACAAGTTTGTTTTGTTGATTAAAGCTTTATTGCTTGTTAATTTGGAACGTTTCTTTCCAAGTTTTCTTTGTGTTTGACGAGTGAAGTTAAACATAAAAACCCTTAGATTAGGCGAGTGAAACCTGATTTAAGAGAGGTTAGATTAATTAGTGAGTGAAGCTAATTCAAACTATCCTCAAAAAACCCCTAAATCACGAGATTAAGGTGAGTGAAGCCTTGAAATCAGATTTAGAACCCTTAGGCGAAAACAAACGAGTGAAGCTTGTTTAAACCTAAGACCAAACGAATCAAGAAACGCATCAGTTGTCACAAGACTGAATTTGCTAGATATCTATTTCCTCATCCTTTTGCAGATCATGTGTGAAGAATAGTTTTGGGGATATATGTTTTGTTCTATCTCCCTTAATATATCCCTCAGTTACTTGAGCGATGCATGTTGTATTGTCTTCAAAGATGGTTGTTGGGTTTTCTGTTATTGCTTTCATTCCACACTCCTTTTGGATATTACTAATCATCGACCTCAGCCATACACATTCTCGTCCTGCTTCATAAAGTGTTATCAACTTTGCATGATTTGAGGATGTCGCGGTCAATGTCTGTTTTGTTGATTTCCATGATATTGTTGTGCCGCCATAAGTAAACAAATATCCATTTTGTGACTTGGAATTTTGAGGATCCGATAAGTATCCAGCGTCTGCATATCCAATGAGAGCAGCACCTTGTTTCGGTACATAATATAAACCAAGGTCTTGTGTCCCTCGTAGGTATCGGAGTAAGTGTCGGACTCCTTTCCAATGTCTGTATGTCGGTGCATTGTTGTACCTGGCTAGCAAGTTCACAGAGAAAGCTATGTTGGGTCTAGTGTTGTTAGCTAAGTACATTAAGGCTCCAATTGCACTTAAGTATGGTACTTCTGGACCCATAATTTCTTCATTTTCTTCTCGGGGCTTGAATGGATCGTTTTTCATATTCAAAGAACGAACAACCATTGGGAAGTTGATTGGAGTTGCTTTGTCCATGAAAAATCTTTTCAAAACTCTTTCTGTATAGTTTGATTGATGGACAAAAATACCATGACTCAAATGCTCAATTTGCAATCCAAGGCAAAATTTAGTTTTTCCAAGGCCTTTCATCTCAAACTCTTTCATCAAGTATTTTGCAGTTTTCTCAAATTCATTTGGGGTTCCGATGATATTCAAATCATCAACATAAACTGCAATAATAGCGAATCCTGATTGTGATCGCTTTATGAAAACACAAGGACTAATTTGATTGTTCTTGAACCCTTCTCTCATAAGGTATTCAGTGAGACGGTTATACCACATCCTTCCAGATTGTTTCAATCCATAAAGTGCCCTTTTTAGTTTTATGGAAAGTAATTGTCTAGGTTTGTGGTTCTCTGGTAGTTTTAATCCTTCGGGGACTTTCATGTAAATGTCTGTATCGAGTGACCCATACAAGTACGCAGTCACTACATCCATTAATCGCATTTGCAGTCCTTTTGTGACTGTTAAACTTACCAGAAATCTTAATGTAGTTGCATCAACTACTGGAGAATATGTTTCTTTATAATCGATCCCTGGAATTTGAGAAAAACCTTGGGCTACAAGTCTTGCCTTGTATCTAACTATCTCATTTTTCTCATTACGTTTTCTCACAAATACCCATTTGTATCCAACGGGTTTTATACCCGCTGGTGTAAGAGTTATTTTTCCGAAAACTTCTCGTTTTTCAAGTGAATTCAACTCAGCCAGCATTGCCTCCTCCCACTTTGGCCAATCAATCCCGTGTCGGCATTCTTCCACTGTTCTTGGTTCAACATCATTTTCATCGGACACAATGTCGATTGCGATGGAATTAGCAAATATTTCATCCACGATAACTTCTTTCTTATTCCAATGAGTCTTGGTAGAGACGTAATTCATTGAAATTTCATTGTTATCGACGTTTTAACATCTTGTTCATTCCCCGTAGGGTTGTCTTCTTGTTCGTCCCCTTTTGGATTATCATCATTTTCTTTTCTTTTATCCATATTTTGTCTTTCTTGACCTTCTGACGGGGAAATATCATTAGTCTCATTTTCTATTCCATCCAATATTTTCAATTTCCTTGGTTTAGAATCTTTTGAACCAAGTGGTCTCCCACGCTTTCTGCGTGCTTGGGATTCATTCTCAATGGCCTTATTATCAGTTGGGATTTCAATACGGGCAGGGGCATTTTCTGCTGGTATATGTGATTTTGTCACCTTCTTTGTGTCTACAAATGCATCAGGCAATTGGTTTGCAACACTTTGTAAGTGAACACTTTTCTTGACTTCTTGTTCACACATATTTGTTCGTGGGTCTAACATCAACAGTTGTGTTGCATTCCAAATAAGTTCTATTCTTTCTTGCGTGGGTCCACTTTCTCTCCCCCTAAGGCTGGGAATACTGCTTCATTAAAGTGACAGTCGGCAAATCTAATCGTAAATAAGTCACCAGTCAATGGTTCAAGATATTTAATTATAGAGGGGGATTCAAACCCAACATAAATTCCCAGCCTTCTTTGTGGACCCATTTTTGTTCGTTGGGGTGGAGCAATGGAAACATATACAGCACAACCAAAGATTTTTAGATGTGAGATACTTGGTTCTCGACCACAAACAAGTTGTAGTGGTGAGAATTTATGATAAGCTGTAGGTCTCAATCTAATTAGTGTTGCTGCATGTATTATAGCATGTCCCCAAACAGATGATGGCAATTTTGACCTCATTAATAATGGTCTTGCAATCAATTGCAATCTCTTAATTAGTGATTCAGCTAGACCATTTTGTGTGTGAACATGAGCTATTGGGTGTTCAACATCAATTCCGATTGACATACAATAATCATTAAATGTTTGCGATGTAAATTCCCCAGCATTGTCGAGTCTTATTTTCTTTATTGTATGATCTGGGAATTGTGCTCTTAATTTGATAATTTGGGCGAGTAATTTTGCAAAGGCAACATTTCTGCTTCAAAACAGACTGACATGTGACCATCGTGTAGAAGCATCAATTAAAACCATGAAATATCGAAATGGTCCACATGCTGGATTAATTGGCCCGCAAATATCTCCCTGAATTCTTTCCAAGAATTTTGGAGACTCAATAGCAATTTTGTTCATATATGGTCTTATTATTAATTTGCCAAGTGAACATGCAGAGCATGTCAATTCATCCAATCGAGGAATTTTGACATTTCTTATTGAATGCCCAATTGAATTCGCTATCATTCTTTGCATCATCCCAGTTGCTGGATGTCCCAACCGATCATGCCATAAAATAATCAAATGTTTGTCATCTAACTTCTGGTTAGATACCATATTGATTTCCACAGGTCGTATGTTTATATGATATAATCCCGAAGAATATACTAGCAATTTCTCATAAATGTGTTTCTTGCCAGATTTTCCTGCCGTGAGGCATAAATACTCCTTTTGACCTGTTGTCATTGTTTCTAAATGATAGCCATTTTGGCGTACATCTTTAAAGCTTATGAGATTTCTTCGAGATTTACTCGAGTATAAAGCATTATTGATCATCAATTTTGTTCCATTTAGAAGCATTATACAAGCCTTTCCAGATCCTTCAATTAATTTTGCTGACCCAAAAATAGTGTTTACATTTGCCTGAAACAACTTTAGTTGTGAAAAATATTTCCTATCCTTAGTGTGTGTTGTTCCACTGTCCAAAAGGCATTGATATTCGGAACCAACTTCAGGCATATCCATATCTTCATAAAATAAATATGAGATTAGTCTAGAATAATATCATACAAACTTTTATTGATGATAGAAATTAAAAATACATGACTAGGCATTTTAAAATACAGTACATAACAGAAAATATATTAAAACATAGTGTATATTACATTAGCAGATAGATTATTTAAGCATTGTTATTTTCTCTGAAGATGAAATCATTTCCAATTTCAGCATTGTCCATGAAAAAATCTGACACATCAAGGGTAGGGCAAGGAGCATTTTCTTCATTAACATAATTTGCTTCTACATTTTTCTCTTTGCCTTTTACAGAAGCCTGGTAAAGGTCTACTAAATGTTTGGCCGTACAACAAGTACGTCCCCAATGCCCTGTCATGCCACATCTGTAACATGTGTCTTTTCCTTTTGAAGGAGTTTGTTTGTGGCTTACAGATGACTGTCCCTTCTGCTTTTCAAAAATTTTGAAATTACTGTTTCTTTGAAAATTATTTCTACCACGTCCTCGGCCTCGTCCGCGATAATTTCCACGGCCTCTTCCACGGCCATTGTAATTTCCACGTCCACCTCTTCGTGTAACATTTGCCTCGGGTGGATAAGAACTTGTTGCATTTGCCTCATGATGAGTGGCCAAAGACCCAGTTGGTCTAAGATTATGATTTTTCAACAAAAGATCACTATTTTGTTCCGCAACAAGCAATACACTCATTAATTCATTAAACTTTTTAAAACCTCTTTCACGATATTGTTCTTGCAACAGTATGTTGCTTGCATGAAAGGTAGTGAGTGTTTTTTTCAATCATCTGTTCATCGGTGACTGGATGATCACAGTATCTCAATATAGATACTATCTCATGCATGGTTGAATTGTAATCAATTACGGATTTGAAATCTTGGAATCGTAAATTTGTCCAGTCAAATAATGCCTTAGGAAGGAGCACCCTTTTGTGGTGTCCAAATCTTTCATTAAGACAATCCCATAATTCTTTGGGATCTTCAACCATCATGTACTCAGTTTTAAGGCCTTCATGTAAATGATGCCTTAGTAACACTAAGGCTTTTGCCTTTTCTTGTTCAGTAACAGGTTTTTCAACCGTTATGGTATAAGTGGTAGTATCAGTTGTTTAACCAGAGGGACTTTTATTATCTTTAACAGTGTGCTCCAACCCTTGAGCTTTTAAATTCATCATGGCATCCACTTTCCATTCCAAAAATTTCTTTCCAGATAAATCTAGGATGCTGAATTGTCTTTTCATAAGATCTCCCATTTTAACTACAACAAATCATGTGATGATTTGCTTATAATAATAAATCATATGTTTTCCTCAAAAAAAATAAAAATAATAAATCATATGTATAACACATATGTTTAATTCTTCCATATTTATAGTTTGTTAATGAAACACGTGATAATTAAATTTATTTAACAATAATAAACCATAAATAATATAATTCTTTTCTCCCCCTTGGTTTATTATTGTGAGTAATTATATAATTAGGCAAAAATAAATCATATTAGTCACATAAATGGCAAAACGACAATAACAACAACAACAACAACAGTAGTAATTATAATTATAATAATAATAATAATGGTAATATACAATGATGATTAACAACAAAACAACATAATAAAACAAAAACATGCTTTAGGGTGTTTTGAGTGTTTTGGTTGCCGTCGGGGAACATAATGGGAAAGAAGGAGTGATTTTTTTTCGGGTGATTTTTGGGCAAAGAAAAAAAAATGGGAAAGGATAAGGGATTTGTGGTGAAAATCGGGGGAAAATCTACCTTTTATAGAGATAGGTTTATCTGTTACTGTTTTGTACAATTGTAAAAATATCATATAATAGTTTAATGTACTGGCAAAATTATGATCCAAATATAAATATTTACAATTGTAAAAGGTTATCACACTGGGAATGCAAGTCATAGTGGTCCGAGAGCCCTAATATCTACAAAAGATCATGGGTTCGAAAACTGAAAGAAACACAAAAAGTACGTAAAAGAAAGAAAAAATAATACATCTAAAAAGGCTGCATCCTTTTTTTTTTTTTGTCAATTTAGTTAATAATATGTATGCAAAGTTGCTACTAAGCAATTATAATAACTAAAATTAAATTTTACATAAAAGGTGAGTATGTAATATCAACATGCATGAAAAAAAAACAAGATATCAACATGAATAAAACAAGTGAGGATAGTAATGAAATTTATAAGTAAGAGAATATTTTCCACCGATGTTTTGCCTCCTTTTTTTTGTGATATATAATACAGTAAATATTTGAGTTTCTGGTATAGAGGATCCCAAAATATGGGCAAATATAGAGCATACTCCTCAAAACATTAGAAATAAATAGTATTTATTTGTTATAATTTTGAGAATATACCTGATTAGGAATTGGTGCTGATAACGTGTTAAAAGATTTTTCACCGATAGAAATATTTATCAGTGAAAGGTAGAGTAAAGAAGAAGAGAAAGAGTATGGGTGGAAAATGTAGTCCACTTTACTATTACTTCATGGCTTTATTTATAGTAAGATTATACATTAAAATATTAGGCATTATTGTACCTACTAGTATAGGATTGATAGTTATAATTGATCTAAATACATGTGAACTTTCACATTTGCATATTTCTCAACAACCTTTGTCTTTTTTTTTTCTTCCTCCATATCCTCTTAATCTTGAGATCCTTTATATCTCGGTACTTCGATCTTCAAATTCTTCGTAATCACATTCCGGCTCTGATACCATGATAGAATTTGGGCACACGCAGAAGTTTTAATGGACCCCAATATCATATAATAATTTTATGATTTCATAAATTTCATCATAAATTGTACAAACATGTTTGTGAGAGCTCATGTCTCTCACTCTCTTGATAAAACCTTGAATTTCTATCAACTATTGGTGGAGCTCATTATTAGCTCACTTCTTACTCATGTACACATAACATATTTATCTCATATTAGATTTTTCTACATCACTCATCTTAGATATTTTACAAGATACTCCTAAACCTCTCTTGACTTTCCTACGTCATTATAGATTTTTCTAATCTACACGCTAGATTTTTCATACCACATTTAGATTTTTCTACTTTAACCTCTAACAACAACCAACTTGAATAGGGAAATTAGAGGAGGACAACATCGCTATCCTATGAAATTAACCATGTCATTCATTTCTCCATTTGTTTTTAGGGTGTTTTGTTTATATGGTTGCGCGCCGAGGAGAAAGACAATGAAGGTTCTCCATTGAAGCTTCTCGTGAACTCCGTTTTAACGATAAGTATTTATTTAATGATCGTTTTAATTTTTCCCTGCAATTTATTACCAAATTGCCATCCTAATAAACGAAATTAGCCGGATACAGCTCGTTACTGATGTGTCTCAAACTCTCAATCGACTAAAATACAGTAGGTTCACTTTTCACTTGTTAGAGTAGCTGACAGTAATGTCACATAATCCCAACAATGCCGAACTAAGAAATACCATTCCGATGACAACGAAGCTCAACTACCGCAAGAGCTTAAAAACCTAGTTGGAACTGACTTATCTTATGATCATGAATTTGGTTTCCTGGGTTAAATAACCAGAAAAGAAAATGTATGAGGTACGAGTACGATCAACACCGGTGTTTTTGTTGTCTTCTTTGTTAAACAGTGATGTTGGTGGAGTTCAATCTATCCAACTATTAAAGCACAGGGATACTGGGAAATCAAGGGTAATTCTCTGTCTTCTGTACTTGCTCTTTGCAACTTCATCTCGTACATTTATATTTATATAGAAACTGAAGCTAATTTTGGTTAAATTTCCTTAGTGATGCTATGCTTTATAATGGAAAAAATCTAATATCATCGATCAATGTGTAATAGGGCCTTGCATATGTCGACTTTTGTGATGATACTGCTGTGGCGAAGAACAGACTGTTAAATTCACCCATTAAGAGGAAAAGCTTTGAGCTTAGTTGCCCCCTCATAATTCTTCTGAGCCATCTGCTAAACAGTCATTCTCTAGTAAGGGGTTTGACAATGACCAAATTCAACTCAAGGAAAACAACACATTTGCAGTTCCGCGCAATGTCAGGCCTCTTGGTTTTACAGAGATCAAGCCAAAAGCTGTTGAAGGTGATGATGAAAACCAAAATCTCTAATAATGAATTCAGAAACACGCTTTTAATAAAGCAGCTGATACATTTTTTTTTTTTTGGAGAGTTCAATGCACAGTTGGGTAATTTTTGTTAATAATCGCTAGCTCTGGAGTTACAGTTATCATCTTACTCCGTAATAGGTATAAGGAATAACGAATTAACAATCAATTCGATAGCAAACTGTTTTCAGGAATCATGTCAGAAGCTCACTTTGGCTTGAGTATGGATAGGATCGGAAGACCTACCTGTATACTCGTAATTAACTAGCTAAAAATGTGATACGGAGTAATGTTATGCTCCTTATCTATGTGCGTAGTGCACCTATGTGGCTATGTGGGTGGTTTCGAGTAATAGAAAGAGAAGCTTTGACAAACATTTAAAAGTGTTTTACTTTTCACTTTTATTAATGTACTTCATCCACTTTATCTTTCTATTTCTTAAATACCATGAAAAAACACGAACAGGAACTATATTATGAGACGGATATAAGAATACCTTGTAAACATTTTAAATTTTTAGCTAGAATACAACTTTTTCCATATATAAAGTTATTATATAATCCAACATGAACCAGTTCGACGCATTGCATAATCTAATTATAGTTGTATACGATTATACTACTCTCTCTCTCTTTTTTTATCCTTTTTTTTTATATAAAAAATATTAGCAACAATTTGATTATGTTTAATTATTATTAATTTGATTATGTTTGATTGTTCTAAGTGTGTAATTAATGTTACTTTATTCTAAATAATTAATGTTACTTTATTCTAAATATTTCCTTTTTTAGCTTCTTATCATTTTCCTTTGATTATTATGTTTTGTCAATAGAAAATTTTAACCATAAATATTTTAAACTATTTTTTTTGTAAAAAAGGTTGATATTCTTAGATATATTGAGACGACTTCAACTACAAATTACTTACTAAGACATAATTGAGCCGACTTAAGCCGTGAGAGGTTCACATGCGCCGAGCTAGTAAGACATTTGCACGGTGTAGCATACACAAGGTTCAGAGAGATCGTGTAGACAAGACGCACATCCTCCCAACCACGGCTAATAATAGTTTATCTTCTTTTAATAATGTTGTTTAGTTTGTGTATTTAAGCTTATATTAAAAAAAAAAAAAAAAAAAAAAAGTGAGGGATTCACATGATAAAATCATTTCTCCTCTCTTAATAAACAAATATATTGTACTTCTTACAAGTATCGTAAAAATTATATAACGTAAAAGTTAAAGTGTTACGATTACTCTTAATTAAGAAACCAAAGATGTAAATATAATGATAGCTTTAGTTGGTCACCCGTCTCAAAATTTCAACCAAAAGTGGATTCTCTTTACTTATCTATCACATTTAGGTCACCTCCCACTTCATCAAATGATCATCACTGTTTCATACCAAACTCCATATTTTAAAATCAGTGAAAATGTCCTTCACTCAAAAAGGAAGAAATAAATGACAAAATATAAGTATTATAATCATTAGACGTATGAAAATATTTTTGAGGGATATTTTTATACTCATAAAATAAGTCGGCAAGATATTCATATGGTCAAACAACTTAATTGCTTATATTTTTAAGCTTCTAAATTATGGTTTATTTTTCTTTTCTTTTTTTTTCCTAACGAGCCAAAAGACAATATAAATTACAATTGAGAAATTTGAACACATCCCAAAACAAGCTACGCCTTCACTTTCGAGTCAAGCCAAGCCTATGATGCCTTATATTCCCACAATCACATACTTCATATTTTTTAATCCACACACATCGTACCTATTTTTTCATTATTTTATCCTACTTTTATAATGAGTATTCTTTTTATCAAAACAACTCCTACAAGGGATACAACTCTCCAAGTTACTCATCTCTGTAAAATATACGAAGTATAAGTAAAAGCTACATTTTCTTGTCTCAAAATAATTGACATAGTACTTGTACTCATAATCGGTACAAAATGAGTGTTGGAAACCAAAACACAAAAAAAAGGGTTTTTCTAAGCTATGCCCCTAGGCAATTGAGTTTCTAAAGTGTACCTATGCTTTTTCAAATTTCTAAGTTGTGCCACTCAACTCATTACCATGAATGAGTGGTACCCTCCTTAGGACTTCCACGTCACCTAAAGTTTACTATAAATTTAATAAAAATATGATAATAGGTAAGGAAATGATAGGAGAAAGAAATTTTAGCCACCGGAATCCGAATAACGAAAACTGAAGCCACAAAATCACACTCTCAATTAAATTTTAAACAACTAATAAGGGTACATTTTAGTATTGATAAGCAGTTGAAGGACACGGCTTAAAAACTTGAAAAAACATTAATACACCTTAAAAACTCGACTACCTTAGGGGTATATGTTAGAAGAAAAAAAAAAAAAATAGACGTGCCAAAAGTAAATACCCATAATTTCCTTCCCAACTTTCATCTAATCCCGCGTTTCTCTCTCTCTCCTCTGATTGGGGTTGGTCATAAGTGCGTGGGAGCAGATGTTTTCAAAGGTTCCACATGCTATGGCTTCCCTTCCTTGTTCTAGGGTTCGTTTTTCTCTCTCTTTTTCTTCATTTATTCTTTTTTAATACAAGCACTCCATTTATTTTTTAAAATTTACTGCTTTTATTACTTTGAATTTAATTTTGAAAATTCTGCGTTTAATTATCATTAAATTGATGTTTTTTTTTTTTTTTTGAAAGACATTAAATTGATGTTTTGATTATTCTAAGTTTGGGATCGGTTGAATTTAATTTGGATTTTTGACCCTTTTTGACATAAATACTTTGCATTAAGTCAAAATTCTGTAGAATTTTATATTTGCATGTTAATCACTTTTTATTTTTTATTTTTTTTGGTATTTTATGACATTATTGCTTGTAATGTGACTTTGGAATCTTAAGAAATTGTGATTTTATTTCACTGGGTTTGTTTAAAATTTTCTAGGAAGATGACTTTTTGAAATATGTTTTATGAATTTTTTAATCTTATTTTGGGTTTAACAGTACAAAAATAAGTGCTAGCTGGCAGTGGAAAACGAGCAAAATTGGTATCCTGAAGGGTTTTTATTTGATTTATATTTGATTTTAATAATGTACATTGTGATTTGAATTTCGTAATAACAGTGAAATTGGAAACCCTAGTCGAATGGGAATGATCCCGTGCAATTTTTCGGATTTCAGTGGGATCTCGATTTTTTTGTATAATGTAGTGTTTGTTTTTCCCACAAAGATCATGTTTTTCTGGTTGGTTGGCTTATGTAGGTGGCAACATCTGTATATGGTTTTTGGAAATGCAAGGTGATTTGCTGAATGATTATGATTTTTTTTTTTCCGTTGGCTTAATTCTTCTAGTGATTGGCTTAGTGTACGTCGTGTCTAAGTAGTTAGTGAATTGTATAATTGAGGTTTAATGGAAGTGTTTGTTGCTATTATTGACAGTGCAATAAAACTAATGTGGTTTATCTTTGTGATGAATTTTCAGGTACGAGGTGGGGTTAGTTTATGGCCTGGAGCAAGGCAACTGTGCCTCAGGAAAGGTCTTTTGTATGGATTAATGCGCTGCTTATCTATTCCATTTAAGACATTGCATGGAGCTGGTCAGTCCCTCGGAGTTACACGGCTTCTGTGCAATGTTTCTTGTATATCTACTGCACTGCAAATTGAATTGGTGAGATAATCTCGCAATGATTGCTAATGTGCACGGTTGAAACTAGTCTGAACATGTGTCGAATTTGATGGCTAGTGCATAGTGGTACATTGATCATATGCTTCTGTGAGAAGTGTGCTTCATTTTGCATCAATTTTTTTGAAAAGAGTTTCTTTGGTGATGGCTTCTCAAGCCTTTTTTGAGAATGGGGTGATAGGATTTACTTATAGGAAGTAGGAACAATACAAAGCGTATGACCAGATTCTTATCTTCTAGAAGTGGCACTCCATCAAGATTAGATATTTCCAACACACTGCCTTTTTCTAATAGCATTTGAAGATGTCATCTGAGTTTCTTTCAAGTAGACTTAGACAGTTGTCTTAAAGGATTTGTGGATGGTAGGCAATTCATTAAAGATGCAATTTTGCAAATAAGGTCTTTTGTGACTGCGGCAACAAAGTGGAATTTGATACAGAGTATTTGTTGATTGTAGGAAGAGGGTTTTTCATGCCCCTCTCCCCACAAAAAGTGGCAGTTTATAGAGTAATAGTCTTGGTGTTAAAATGATATAAAGTAGGGTAATCTCTTTCAGGTGCTAGCCAACGGTATCCAATTAATTGGTTTTGTGCTGAACTCATAGGTAAGAAATCAATATGGGGACCAAGGCTTTGTTGTTGTTGCTGGATGCCTTGAGCTTATATATAAATTTTCAACGATTAGTATAATATAATACTAATATGTGCTAGGGAGGAGGTTGATGCTACCTTTTTGTATCCATGTGGAGAAGTTATGAAATATTCTAATCCTGTCCAGACGTCATCTGTTAGCTTAGAATAATCTTTGCAAGGCATGTGTCATGTAATTAAGGGGGCTAAATAACTTTGGCCAATAGCAGGATCTGTCTCTTAACTTTTTAGAGGTTTGCTTATGTTCTAAACCTGAGAGAAGTCCTCCTCAGATTCCCTAGTTGAGACATGAAAGAGTGTCTAAGAGGCATCCAATTTTATTTTATTGGTTGGGAGAGATGCATGGAACCTCATGGATCAGTTTGCAACTATAAATTAATGGCTCAGTGATTTCTGAACAGAAAGAATTTTAAACATGGCCAGTGTGGCTATGGGTATATAGGGTCATTTGCTGCCTTCTACTGCTTTGCAATCCTTCTATTTGTATTTTTGTATTGTTTATGGGGTGAGAATTTTGCAATCCTTTCATAATAACAGCTTTGTTTGCAAATGACATTGGATTTTCTGCCATTTTCACAATATTTATGACCCCTTTATGAAAGGGGTTGCATATATTGTTCACTGTAGCCCCTTTTGGTATTTAAAGCTACCCTATAGTGGCCCTTGTTATAATTAACCTTTGTTGTTTTAGCTAATTCATTTGACTCAATTTTACTATATATTTATGACTAACATTGATCCATATACTCTTTCCTCAGATTCCATGTCTTAGGGACAACTATGCTTTTCTCATACATGATGAGAATACTGGGACTGTTGGGGTTGTTGATCCTTCTGAAGCCGTACCTGTTATCGATGCACTGACAAAAAAGAATAGAAATTTGAATTACATACTGAATACTCATCATCATCATGATCACACTGGTGGGAACATTGAGCTGAAAGAAACGTATGGTGCAAAGGTATGAAATGTGGCACATGTTTATACTAATGACGCATTAGCTTGTAATTGTATATTTTTGTGATGATAAATGTAATCAATGATTCAACCAAGTAGAAGTTGATCTTTAGTCTTTCAACATAGTCAGTTAGATCTTTCCTAAAGAGGATCCTACCCAGAGTGGTGTAAGAGGATCTTTTGCCTTAAAAGGTGAACCAAGGACTGAAGGTTTCCTAGAATTAATCTCATAAATGTTTTATCTTGGCCACTATCTATCCTTTTCCCTTCAATCCTATTCATCTTCTTGCACTGTTTTTTCTGCATAGAGGTCAAAGTAGGGTGAGGAACTGTGCATAACTGCATGTCTGCATATTCTGCAGCCAAGCTGTGTTTCATGCAATGTTGCTCTCATTAACATAGGACAAAATCTGTTTGTTGGAGGATATTGATGACAAATGTTAACAGGCCTATGTCTTGCAGTAAAAGTGGAGCTTTTTATTTGTATATATATTTAAGTTTGGAAGATTATAGTAGTTGTCAGCATTGTCACATAGTGCTAGTGACCACTTAAGGTTTTTATTTCATCACTGATTTTCTTTTCATATTTGTGCCATTGAAATATTGAATATTTCAACTCTAAATTATTTTTTTTTGCTTTAAGATTCTATTAATTATCTAAAGTCCAATTTTAGTATAAAAAAGTCTTTTTTCAAGGAGAGGAGGATCTCTAGCGTCCTAGTTTTAAACTATTAATTGCTTTTGTTTATTTAACTTTATTGTTTTGCAAATCAAATTTCTGATAAGTGTTTAGCAGTTTGGCCATCGACCTATCGTAGATTTGTCTTTCTTGTTATCATTCTCATATGTAAGCATACATTGCTCTGGTTACTTGCAAAAGCAAGCATATGGTGCTAAGTTTTCAACAAGTACCAACACTTGCATGTTTAGCCCTTAATTTAATTACTACAAAATGCAAATCTCTGTCATTCTGATTTTAAAGCAGTCATCACTGATCTCATTTCAGTAAATTGTAGCTGTGTAGAGTACAGTGATATCTTGACAGGAAACACTCAGTTCCTATTTTCAACTCTATGTATGATGCATCAGTCTTCTTTTTTACTTGTAGGTGATTGGCTCAGGAAAAGACAGAGATAGAATTCCTGGAATTGATATCGCCTTAAATGATGGTGATAGGTGGATGTTTGCAGGCCATGAAGTTCATGTAATTGAAACTCCTGGCCATACAAAAGGTATTTTCTAACCCGCATCAGCCTTGTTGCTGTAAATATTAATTTTGGGCTAGTGCTTTATAGTTATACTTGCAATCCAATGCATATGCTATATATGCTCATCTTTTGGTGATTGTATAAAAGTATTTCTTGACTGTTGTAGCCTTGTTGCTGTTCTTACATTTTACCATGAATGATGATTAGTTCTAGTGGTGAGTTTGAGTTAGCTTTTGGCAAAGTTTGCTGGTTACCTTCCCTGCTTCATGCTGATTTTTTGAGCTCTTGAAGATTGTATGTAACGAATGTTGTTTTGGACTTTGAGTGTCAGTATTAAGGTTTTGGAATGCTTATCAATTCATTTTACGCTCGTATTCTGGCTGTGTATGGAAGTTATGGGGACTGTGAACTGCAGTTACATTGCATCACATACTTTATAAATCCAATATATATATATATATATATATATATATATATATATATATATATATATATATATATAAAAGGAATTAAAGTATGACCAGATATTGAAGGAATGTAGGAACGCTTCAGATCAGAGCTCATTGTCTCGTATTGATTTTGTTCTAGGCTAAGTTGTATGTTTGAACAGCATAGGGATGCATGATGCTGTGGATCGTTTGGAAAATTATTGATATTCATTGACTTGGTTTCTTTATTAAATGTACAAAAAGTGGTTTTAGATGAACAATATATATAAATATAATCATTTTCTTGAGATTTCTTGTTGGCTATTGTCCGAGTTTAGCCCTAACAAGAAAAGTAATGCCATTTTTGTTCTGGCAGGGCACATTAACTTCCATTTTCCTGAATCTGGAACAATTTTTACTGGAGACACTTTGTTCAGTTTATCTTGCGGGAAGCTTTTTGAAGGAACACCTGAAGAGGTTATTTCTAATGACATCTCTCTTGTGAATTCCGTGCTGTTGATTTTGAAATAGCGGGGGTTGAAACTTGGAAGAAATCTGTTCTGGAAAAGACTTTTCACTGTGTCATATCTTTCCCCAGAAGTTTATACATTTTTTTATAGCTTGTCTAAGCTCCAAAGTACTGTTGCCTGCTTTCATTAGTTGGTGAATTTTAGTGTTTTTAACTTGAGAGTTGAGTTATGAGGAATTATTTATCTTAGTTGTGGTTGAAATGTTTATGGTTAAAATTTTATTTTATTGTTGTACTGATGTTTTAATGTAATACATGTTTCTCTATTCCAGATGTTAGCTTCTCTTAAAAAGATCATGTCACTGCCAGATGATACAAGTATCTTTTGTGGACATGAGTATACCTTGGTAAGCTCCATTTCCTTTGTTTTGATATGTTTATTGTAAATGTGGTGGAGCTAATGATTAAGACTATTATTCTACAGAGCAATGCAAAGTTCGCGTTGTCTATAGAGCCAAATAATGAAGTCCTTCAATCTTATGCTTCACGTGTGGCACAATTGCGCAACAAAGGGTTGCCAACGGTAATGTCTTGATCTTGTTCACGATATTTAAATTTGACCGATCTTTGCCATTTTCTGTTTGTTTATCTTATTTAGAAGTAATATACTGACCTACATTGTACAACCTGATTTAAACTCATATGCGTAACGGTTGCTATAAATTTGATTCAAGGAATTGATCGTAATATTATTTTTGTCCCTTGAATTCTGTTACTATACTACTTGAGTACTTGGCACTTCTTGTCACTTGATATTTACTATATTGATTGTTTACTCCTTATAAGAAAATTTAAGTTACTGATTTGAACTACTTAAAATTAAAATTTTAAATCACTATTCTAGCAGTTACACTTTGCAATGAGTCATTTAAGGTTTACAACTGGTAATCAATTTCTATACCCATAGTTCACGGCATAGCAATTTTGTTTTGCACAGATACCCACGACTCTGAAGTTAGAAAAGTCCTGCAATCCTTTCCTTCGGGCTTCAAGTACTGAGATCAGGCAATCATTAAATATTCCGGCCTCAGCAGACGATGCTGAAGCTTTGCGCATCATCCGCCAAGCAAAGGATAATTTTTAGTTTATCATTTGTCTGTAGATAAAGCAGTGTGATAAGCTATAGCAGTTGGTTCCAATCTTTTGGGATTTTGTTGCTATAATGTACTAAATAGAGCTCTTTTTTAGTTTGTACTTGGGCTATACGAGGATGGCAAATCCATGGAATTGCAATGTTCATGCCGTTGCTCCATAAAACATTTGTTTTTTGGATTTTCTTGAAAGAAAAAGGCCTGATCATCCTCCCTTTTCAAAGCTCTGCTGATTTTCTTACAACTTTCTAGGTTGTTCAGGTTTATTTTTGTCTTCGAACCTTTATAACCTGTTTTTTTGGATGCTTCAGACTCCAAAAGACTGATATTTGCTGATGAGATCTGAACTCAGGTAGCCCTGCAGCTTTAAACAAGCTACCATACTTTATACATACATTATACATCCATGTATCCCAGACTTTCTATGTTTCATTTCCACCCAATCAAACCTCTATCTGTATACTAAGATCTTCATGGAAGCAATGGATAATGCCTCGGATATATCTCTATTTTCACTTCTATTTAACTTTATCTCCGTACAATCAAATCAACAATCAAAGCTTACAGATTTACACTTGAGAAAAAGGAAATAATCAAATAGTTCAGTCTACTCTTCATACCCCAATTTCGGAGTACAAATACGTTAGTCATAGTTCATAAGAAGATCCTCAAGGCCACAAAATGGCAGCAGGATATCTTTCTGAATAAATTGATTAAGCATAGAAATTAAGATTAAAACGATACAAATGGAGATCATATCATCAGAGCACCATGTAAACTTCAGCATTGTAAACAGCCTCCGTTGTTTTAGAAAGTCTCCAATTTTGAAGAATGATTGGATTAAGTCTTCATAGTTCATCCTACAAAGAATTCGGTAAATTAATAGTAGCTCGAAAGAGGCGACACAAAGTGAATCAAGCAATAAAACATATACTCACATACTACCTCCGTTTTGAAAATTTCTGTTCACACACGTTTCTGATAGTTCTCAACACTTTCACTTTATTTCATTTTTGGCAAACCCCTTCTATTATCCATCTCTTATTTCCCTAATATTTAAACTTTTTTCACTCAATCTCTTACTTTATCCACCTTTTTTATTTTAACCCTCCTCTATCTTTTTATACATTGTCTTACTTTATCCACTTTTTTCTTATACCCAATCACCGAATCAACATTCTATCTCCAATTGACTTTGTTTGTGTGTATATACACTAAACAGTAAACGCTAAGAACATTCTAAAATGGAGGTCAACAAATCCAACAATTTTGTCAAGACACAAAAATCAAGTTCCACTTACATGGTAGTCATCCAAGTAATCACGGGGGTCATGCTGCACACCAAAAAAAAAAAAAAAAAAAAAAAAAAAAAAAAAAAAATTGATAGGTTAGAAATCTTGATTTTGAACCTCGAACAAAAGACAATAACTAAATAAACTGTGCTATGAGTCCTTGATTATGCTGTTGTGAATTAGCAAACTAGGAAAAGTGTTTTTAGAAGTGTTAAAAACAGTTTATTTTTGTGATTATAAGACTAATGTTATACATATCAACTTAGATCCCCTCTGAAGCATCCTATTGTTCACTTGAAAACTCTTTTACTTATTCAACCTCATCTGAATTCATGTTTAGTTGCGAAATGAACTTGGTAGCCTTTAACAGAACTTACACTTATCTAAACTAGCTCAACTTCTTAGCTTCTAAATGAACTTATTCTCCTGAAACTTGGTTTTTAAAGGTGTTAAATCCCATGCTTTGAATTGATTGCACCCGTAATATAGCCTCTTTTCAAGTTGACTTTTAGCATTGTTGAAATTACATCTAAAATTGAACAAAAGCACATCCATAACATTTATGTGATCTAATATCTATCCACCGTGAACACCATCTAATGAACAAGTGAACAACAAAAACTTTTAAGCTAGAGTTTCAAATGCAATACCCTTTTATGTCGCCTTCTGTCTCCCCGGCGTAGGTCTCTTTCTCTTCTCCTCCTTTCACCTTCTTCCCTTGCTCTTTGGGCTTCCTGTACATAAGATGTACTAACCAGCTCAGAAATTAACAAGCACAAGCAGCTACCTTCTTAGCCATTGGCCACAGTAGGTTAAAAAAAACTATAATCACCTCTTCCTCCCGAGCTTTTTTCTCTTTTTCAGCTTCCTCAAATGCCTCCTTTTCAGCCTATCATTGTTTCACAATCTGCAGTTAATGCAACGGCAAACAGTTCCATATCGCAGAAGGTAACAAACAGATTTCAGTGTAGATATTGAATCTAAAATTTGTGGTCATTTGACATTATTATCATCAGGTAATGCAATTCGATGGTATAATTCAAGATATTATATAAATTGATATTTACTGGTAACTAATCGAAATTTCGGATCAATTGATACAATATCAATAATTATCATCTATATTGAGGTGATTGATGGGATCAACAACTGTAATATGAAATGTATTTTATCCGCATTTTGATCGTGATTCACTTTATTCTCCTCAAGAGTAATATACAAGGTTTCCAGTAATTCAAAGAAAAAATTGTCAGTCTGCTTTAGTTGCAAGTTGTAACACCTACAGCATTAAGACAACTAAAGTTTATCCTTGAGGAAAGGTCAAAATCTCAAACTGTAAACAGCTTTTTAAAGCGTAAGTGCCTAAAATTGAATAAATAGGTCACTAAGAGCTATCAGCCAAAAACTAATTTCAGTAAAACTTTTTATAAAAAAAAGGTTGATGTTTACTGTTCGCTACACCAGCCAATACAAATAGCTAACACTACCGGCTGTCAAACAAACCAAATGCAGTTTGCAATCAATATATGTTGGCTCATTACCCTAAAATGGCCAATATAGGGGTAATTCAAGCCCCAAGGTAAGCATTGTTTGATGACGAAAAGCTATTCAATTGCTATTTTCAGTTTTACAAGAAATAGGTTAGTACCAAGCTTAAAATACAGCTAGGAAGTGCCAAAACAAGCTACGACTCACCTCCCTGTTATTAGCAAAGTAGTCCTCAACAATTTGTTTTGCATATTGCGGATCATCACAGATTAAAATGTTGTCAAATACTGAACCAGCCTTCACCTGCAATTACAATAGATGTCAAATGTCAAGGCAGCATCTCACATCAGAAACCATCACTATAAACGAGAAAAGAAACAGAAAATTTTGCACTCAACCATATAAGGGTTTTGCACAAGTATCAAAGATTTATTTCCTATCACATTTGAAACAGTATTGATATTCTTAAGTCATGTACAAAACAAAGATAGCTTTATTATATACTTGTTTCGTACATTAAGTTTTACTGATATTAATTTCTAAACTTTAACTGAGAGCTTCAGCAGTTAAAGTTGCATATTAATTTCTAAAGCTGGTAGCCACAGCTCATAGGACATGCAAGTGCACAAACAATGAAAGCTCTTCAAATCAGCATTTAGCAAGCAAATAAAAGTAAGGTTTTTTTTAATACACGCTATTATCAGTATTATGAGAATGGAAACTAACTTAGGTCCATTCTCCAAAGAAGTAGCATTAAGTTCAAAATCTAACCTGCCAAACTTCAATGCCAACGTATTTTACGGGCCTTATCACATAAATATCTGGGTCATCTTCAAACTCTGTCATTAACACAAAAGAATACAATTATTAGTGAACATATCAGAGATAAATAAGAACACCATTCTGCCTGCTCCCACAACCCATAGAAACAGAAAATTCCTCAAAGATTATTACCAAGGATATGCTCCTTCCTCCAGACACCTTTGACAATTTTGAAAAAGAAGGAATCATACCTGGATTGTCAATCCATGGAGTCTTCCACTTTCCTTTGTAGTTGGGGTTCTTGATTTTCTGCAGCAAATAATTTTTTTAGTCTAACATAAGACAAGATACCCAAGGTAACCTCAGTTACAAATACTTGCGAAACATTAAAAACATGTACAAGTAGCACACGACATCACCTTGGGCTTCCATGGTCCTTTGTAAGCAGGATTTGGGATCTTTGGGGCTCGCCAAATTCCATCATCATCTTCATCCCAGTCATCAGGCTGCAAAGTAGTACAAAGTCATAAAGGTTTAATTGTGATCATTCATTTTTCTGCACAACGTATCCGAAAAGCTGCAATGTAACCACCCAAGCTTCGAATGTGCAACATACAACTTTTTTCTTAATAAAAAGGTTGGATGAAAACGTCTAAACTTTATGGATGACTAGAAGCAGATAACCATATTAAATCCTAACAGTAAATACAATAGTGCTAGCCATGCTAAAGCTGCAAACCTTTTTGGCCTTAGGATCAGGTATCTCAGGTGGAATTGAGTCATAGCCCTGCAACATCAACAAAATTATCCCTTATCAAATTACATTATAAAAATAAAAAGGAAAGGCGAAATGATTTAAATTTTCAGATTACTATTTATTTACTGTAGACAGAATTGTACCTCAGGTTTAACGTTGTTAGGATCATCTATATATTCTCTATCATCCCAGTCTGCAGGCTGAACAACAATAATAGAGATGTGTGTTAAAGATCAACCTTGCCAGCTTATGAAGTATCTCATATATAAGGAAAAGGAGTAAAAGAGGTTGCTTCAAAATATTTTTAAATGAACACTGTTAAACTTTGGTCATATACAATTATAAAAAGGTAGCATAGCAACATGAAGAATCGAAGCTTCTAAAAAAAACATATTGATCAATTTAAATAGGAAATGTTTTATACTTGCTTCTTGAAACAAGTAGCTCAAGATTCATTTTAGCTTTCACTATTTACAAGTTCATACCTTTTTTGCTTTAACATCTTTGATCTTTCTTGGAGGAAGAATATCCCAGTCTGTGTATAAGCTTCCTGAATCTCTTTCACGATTATCGACCAGTACACTGTATGTTGCATCTGGCCGAAGGATGAAGGTGTAAAAATGTGTTAGTTTGTCAGTTTCACATTCCAGATCCTTCCTGAATGGATAATTCTGCCCCTGGTAGGACACTATAAGATGAAGCTTTTTGGTCTGTGTGCCACATAGATCTGGTCCAAACATCAAACTACAACAAGGAAAATGAAACTAAGAAATGTGTATCACATGATCAAAAATTACAAAAACTGCAAATCATCCAATAAAACTGGGAGAAGAGATTAGGCAAAAGACATCATACAAGAAAGACCTAGGCTGCATCTATCGAGCTTTGTAATGGCTGAAAATTATTGAGTCCAAAGCGTTTCACTTAACAGGAAATGTGCTAATC